GGTGCAGGTGCTCCTTTGGATCACTTTGTATCTTTGGGGTAAATACCTAGTAGTGCAATGCTGGGTTTTAGGGTAGCTCTGTTTTCAACTTCTTGAGGAACCTCTTACTGTTTTCTAGAGAGGCTGCACTAGCTTGCATTTCCACCAACAGTGCAAGAGGGTTCTCCTTTCTCCACATCCTTGCCAACATCTGTTGTTATTTGACTTGTTGCTTTTAGCCATTCTGACCGGTGTGAAGTAGTATTGCATTGTGGTTTTTTATTTGTATTTCCCTGATGCTGAATGATGTTGAACATTTTTTCATGTGTCTGTTGGCCATTTGTATGTCTTATTTGGAGACATGCCTATTCTTTGATTGGATTATTTGTTCTTTGGTTGTTGAGTTTGATAAGTTTTTTTTATAGATTTTGGATACTAGCCCTTTATCTGATAAGACATTTGCAAATATCTCCCATACTGTTGGTTTTCTTTTGGTTTTGTCAACTGTTTCCTTTGGTGTGCAAAAGCTTTTTATCTGGATGAAGTCTCAGTAGTTCATTTTTGCCTTTATTTCCCTTGCCTTTGGAGTCGTGTCTAGCAAGAAGTTGTTGTGGCCAAGGTCAAAGAGATTACTGCCTGTGTTCTCTTCTAAGATTTGATGGATTCCTGTCTTACGTGTAGGTCTTTCATCCATTTTGAGTCTACTTTTGTGTATGGTGTAAGGAAATGGTCAGGTTTCACTCCTTTGCATGTGGCTGTCCAATTTCCCCACACCATTTATTGAAGAGACTGTCTTTTTTTTTCCAAAGGATATTCTTTCCTGCTTTGTCAAAGATTAGTTGACCATAGCGTTGAGGGTCCGTATCAGGGGTCTCTGTTCCGTTCCATCAATCTGTATGTCTGTTTTTGTGCTGGTACCATACTGTCTTGGTGAGTGTAGCTTTGTGATAGAAAGCTGGAATTGTGATGCCTACAGTTTTGTTTTTGTTTTTCAACATTACTTTGGCTATTTGTGGTCTTTTCTGGTTCCATACAAATTTTAGGATTGTTTGTTCCAGCTCCATGAAAAATGCTGATGCTGTTTTGATAGGGATTGCATTGAATGTGTAGATCACTTTGCGTAGCATAGACATTTTAACAATATTTGTTCTTCCAGTCCACGGGCATGTAATATTTTTCCATTTCTTTGTGTCTTCCTCAATTTCTTTCATAAGCGTTCTGTAGTTTCAGAGTATAGATCTTTATTTCTAGGTATCTTACGGTTTTTGGTGCAATTGTAAATGGGATTTATTCCCTGATTTCTCTTTCTTCTGCCTCATTGTTAGGGTATAGAAATGCCACTGACTTCTGTGCATTGATTTTTACATCCGACTTTGCTGAATTCCTGTATCAGTTCTAGCAATTTTTGGATGGAGTCTTGGGTTTTCTGCATAGAATATCATGTCATCTGTGAAGAGGGAGAGTTTGACTTCTTCTTTGATAGTTTGGATGCCTTTTACTTCTTTTTGTTGTTTGATTGCTGACGCTAGAACTTCCATTACTATCTTGAACAACAGTGGTGAGAGTGGACATCCGTGTCGTGTTGTTGACCTTGGGGGAAAAGCTTTTGGTTTTTTCCTGTTGAGGATGATATTCACTGTGAGGTTTTTTTTTTTTTTTTGTATGACTTTTATGATACTGAGGTATGTTCCTTCTATCCCTACAATGCAGAGAGTTTTAATCAAGCAGGGATGCTGCATTTTGTCAAATGCTTTTTCTGCATCTATTGAGACAATCATGTGGTTCTTGTCCTTTCTTTTATTAATGTGATATATCACAGTGATTGATTTGTGGATGTTGAACCACCCTTGCAGACTTATGGCTTATTCTTACAAAATAGGAATCACAAGATAATAGAGTAAGAATAATAGAAATAGAAACAAATGAGAATATTTATTGGTTCTAGGTGGTAGATACATACATGCATGCTTATTATATTAGTCTCTGTACTATTTCATATTTTAAACATTTTTCCAGGTTGTTACAAATAACCATAACATAACATATAGTTATCACTATTTGTCATCAAGTTGAAGCTCAGATTGCTCATTAGAAGAGTCTGGCATACCATTTATATCCACTGAATTTATATAGATAACTGATTATTATTAAAATTTTGTACTCTTAGAAAAGTCAATTTGTCCCAAAGATGGTTGTTTCTTGTTTTCACCAGCAACCATTTTAGGAGACATTGGGCTTTTTTATGTCACCTTTTTATTCCTGATGATTTCTTAACTTTAATTTAGGTTCCAGAATTATGACTTGTTAAAATGAAAATTATTATACTTTTCAGGATAGAATTTTGACAGATCCAGGCATGATGATTATTTTCCATTTTACAAGAGATAGAAGAATAAGGAAATAGAAACCACTTGACTTCAAGGCCAGTGGTTTGATTTGTTTTCAGGGCTCTTTATTAAATGTAGCATAGATATGTCACTTAGTTTTTTTTTTGCTGCTGCCCAATAAAAATTTTTGTCTTTAATTGATTTTTCCTCTTTTCTTGGCATTTTTATGTGTAAGTGAAATGAGAAGGTGTCGGGGGGAGTCTAGACCATGTGAGCCATGGTCTGCTGTTGCCCTTAACAATTTTTACTGAATGTTGAGTGTTCACTCTTGGTGTTTAAAGGTCAGCAGAGCACAGGGGAATGAACAGCATATTGCGGGTAGAGAATCCCAGCTGAACCCTGGGTCAGTATCCTGGGTCTGCTACTTAATAATTACCATTTAGATTTGGACATGTTACTTGGCATCTCTTAGCCTCAGCATCCTCTGTAGATTAAGGGTTAAAGATGTTCATTTTAATAAGTTGTTGGTAGAATTAAATTGGATTGTCGTGTGAGCATCTAGCACAATAGCAGGTTGATTGTTGTGATTCTTCCCACTTTCACTAATCGAGAATGCTAGAAAGTATTTTAACTTTGAGTAAACGATTTTAGGTCATGTGGTATAAATTTATGAGACACACACAAGAAGTGATTTCCTAAGTTTACAAGGGTAACTTTAGGGATGCCTGGGTGGCTTGGTGGTTGAGCATCTGCCTTCGGCTCAGGGCATGATCCCAGTCCAGTATCGAGTCCCAATGCATTGGGCTCCCTGCAGGGAGCCTGCTTCTCCCTCTGCCTGTGTCTCTGGCCTCTCTCTCTCTCTCATGAATAAATAAAATCTTTAAAAAAAAATGGTGAACTTCATATTTAATATTTCTTCTCAAATATATTCTTTTGGCTTAAATAGTTGTGATCCAGGAAAAGCAGAGCCAAATAATTGCTTTGACCTCTGTTTTCTGGTTCATGTTTCCTGATGTGGGAGGGAGCTATACCTTTGTGGGCACTGATGTGGGCACTATACCTTTGTACTTGTAGATAGGATATGGGAAGCAAGAAGCAGAGGAGATAGGTGTGGCAGGAGGTTGAGAGGCCTGGACAGGGGATAGGCAGGAATCTGACTGTATTCTCTGGCCCCCTCTCTGTTGTCAGAAATTGGGTGTTTAGTGATTCTTTTTCTGATTCTACAAAGACAGACTGTATTTCACTTAAGAAAAAACAAAACCCTAAACTTACAGCAAAGGTACTTGCTTATCTTTTTATTTTATCTAACATTTTAAAAACATAACTGCTTTCATGAAATGCTCGAGGATCTATTTATATTTAGCAGATTCCCTTTATCTTTGCTTTAGATGTATGGTCATGTACTTCCCAGATGCATTCTGAATAAAAATCCAAGAAGTCCAGAATATTCTGGATCATTTATCAAAGTTTTCATCACACTGTATATAATAAGCCAGAAAAAAATTGCCATATAGATTTTAGGAAAATCAACAAGTGTTCTGCTTTTCTGTTCCAAATGTATTATTTATTCAAATTTTATAAAAGATTTTCTGAAATTTTTGAGATTGTCTTGCATGAAATAATTTTCTTTTGCATTAAGTAAAAAATTGGGGTAAAAATGGGAAGAAAGCACGTTTAGTGGATTTTCTACTGATGAAACTATTCAGGATGTTTGGCTTTCAATTTTGGTGGAGAGGTTGAAGATGCCGTTTTCTCACATACTTGTTATTAAGGAATTTGTACCTCCATTATAGCATTTGTTTAATTCTGTATTTTAAATTAGGGTGCATAGGGGTACCTGGCTGACTCAGTTGGTAGAGCATGCAACTCTTGATCTCAGGGTTGTGAGTTCAAGCCCCATGCTGGGTGTAGAGATTACTTAAAAATAAAATCTTAAGGAAAAAAAAAGGTGCATGAAAGTGTTCACTATACACTGAATGGAATTCTTTTATTTTAGGTCATTCTGTGAGTGTTATATTTTTATTTAAAGATACACATATATGGGGCACCTGGGTGGCTCAGTCTAGGTTAGGCATCTGCCTTTGGATCAGGTCATGATCTCAGGGTCCTGGAATTAAGCCCCCATTTGGACTCCCTGCTCAGTGGGGAGTCTGCTTTTCCCTTTCCCTCTGCCCCTCCCTCTGCTCATTCTCTCTCTGACTCTCTCTCAAATAAATAAAATCTTAAGAAAATAAAGATACATATATTATTAAAAGCTTGGTAGAGAGGACTTCAGACTACTATTGAGACCTTCAGGTCCTAGCTTGGAGAATACCTTTTTTTTTTTTTTTTTCAGTTGTAGAGATGCCAATCTACCAGGCCCTTTTACTTTGCAGTTTTCTTAGTAAGATTAGATGAGATACTATATGTGAAAGTGCTTTTCAAATTTAGGAGCAGTGCACAAAACTAAGGGATTATTATTTGTAAGCATGACTAAAATCAGATCTGAGAAATTGCTCTCTTAAAGCAGAAAAGACAAAGGAGAGAGAATTACATGGGTAAGTTACTTGTGTTTTCAAGCTACGTGTTTAGGAATTATGATATGCCAAAGGACTAATGAAATACTGAAAAGGATCAACATACAAATGGTTAATTAAAACTCATATTTCCCTGCTCTTTACTATTTGATTGACCTTGACCTGGATTTCTTTTAAGGATTGTGTACATCAATGGAAGAATCCTCCAGCGATTCAGACCACCTCCGCTCTCATGATCGATTGAGTCGATGGGCTGCCAGGTCAACATACAGGGGAAATCTAAGTTGTCCTACAGTAGGCGTCACCAAGAAGGTCAACACTATAACAAATACTTTACAGGTTAGTTAAACAATGGTTGCATTGAATGGATTTTAAATAGTTTAGGCTGAGAAATAGTTTTGGTCAGCTATTAGCTTTTTTTGTTGCCATAACAAGTTAACACAAAACTAATTACACTTAAATAATTATTTATAACTCATCATTATTTATAATTAATTAATAATTAAAACGACAAAGTTATTTTTGTATAGTTCTGTACATCAAAATCTGACACTGGTCTTACTAGACCAAAATCTTAGGGTTCACTAGGCCTGCATTCATTTCTGGAGACCCTGGGGAAATAATCTCTTCCTTTGCCTTTACCAGCTTTCAGAGACTGCCCATATTTCTTGAGGCCATCTTCCTTCTTCATAACCAGCAAGGGTGGTTGAGTCCTTTTCACATCATATCACTCTGACGACTCTTCTACTTCCCTCTTCTACTTTTAAGGACACTTGTAATTACCTTGGGTTCACCCAATGATCCAGGATAATCTCCCTGTCTCAAGGTCCTTAATTTGGGATATATATTGTATCCACAAAATCTCTTTTGCTGTATAAGGTTACATATACACAAGTTCCAAGGATTAGGACATGGGCATTTTTCGGGGCCATTATTCTGTCTAACACAATCAAGATATTTGAAACAAAGATATTTGAAATATATCATAGATTGGGACGCCTGGGTAGATCAGCAGTTGAGTGTCTGCCTTCGGATTAGGACATGATCCTGGGGTCCAGGGATCAAGTCTCACATCAGGCTCCCTGCGAGGAGCCTCCTTCTCCCTCTACCTATGTCTCTGCCTCTCTCACTCTGTCTCTCATGAATAAATAAATGTAATCTTAAAAAAAATAAATATATAATAGGTTGTGAAAGTGTTTTGGAATAAGGGAGTATGTTCAAATAAAATATGTGTGTAGTGAAGTGGGTAGGAATTACCAGTTTAGCTTCTTGTGGATATGTACCTTTAGAGAACTTGCTCATATTTTGGCTAGAGAAATTATTCATGGATGAACAATAGTGAGATGACATTTTTATTCAGAGGCTAACTTTGACAGTGTTTGGAAGTTTGAGTGTAAGCAGTTTATATTCTCTGTGTAGAAAAGACTTGGGAAAAGAGGTGGGGGAAGGGTAACACAACCAAGCTGGGCAAAAGAAAACTTTTTTTCCTATTTTTTCCTATTCCAATTTTAATCTCTTATTTTTGCTTTGCCTGGATAAATAAGGATTTTGGCTTTTAATTGCTTTGAGTTAGTATGCATAAATAACAAGAGGCTAATTTCTGGTGGAGAGGCCATAATTTTATTTAAAACTCAGAAAGTTTTTCTTTTTGTACTTTTGTAAAGTAGCATATCATTGGATTTTTTTTAATATTTTTCTTTCTTTATTTATTTATGATAGTCACACAGAGGAGAGAGAGGAGAGAGGCAGAGACACAGGCAGAGGGAGAAGCAGTAGCCAGGCCCACGTGGGATTCGATCCCGGGTCTCCAGGATCGCGCCCTGGGCCAAAGGCAGGCGCCAAACCACTGCGCCACCCAGGGATCCCTATCATTGGATTTTTGAAGTACAAATCCTTATACTTTCTTACAATGAGGCACATTACTGAATATATGTTTTTGAAATAAATGCTTTCATCTTTCAGGTAAAACTTGGCACATTTGGGTAGAAGCCATTTTTGTTGTATTTAGAGCTAAATTTGTTGTTTATAGCTAAAGATTAAAGAATACTTTTTTTCTTTTTTTCCTAATCAAGTTCTGAGGTGAAGTAATAATTGAAATAACACTGATCCTAATGATTTGCTTCTCTTGTACACAGTCTACTGGTTTTGTTCTCTCATGATTCCTTCTCTATAAAAAAAGGTGTGAATTAGTTGAGGTGCACAAATTAAAAATGAGGAGTGCTTTTGTTGCTGATTAAGGAACCTTGGGAAGGATTTAAATTGTGTGCTTCAGTAAATTGTGGATGGATTTAGGTTTCCTTCTCAGTGGTTTTAATATTTGTTTGATATTTATGAAGTATATTAATATCCAACTTAAGTATGATATAAATTGTACCTTTTATAGGTGGTTGACTTAGCTGTTTGACATACTGCCAAGACAGAAAAATAGTGGAACAATTAATAAAATCCATTTTCTTTTTTAAGGACACCAGTCGGAACCTGCGACAAGTAGACCAGATGCTTGGACAGTATCGAGACTACAGTAATGGACAGGCGGGTGCTGTAGAACATGTGAGGAAATTTACATATGTTTGCATTTTTTCTTACCCACCTTTTTGGAAATCAGTTTTTGAGAAGTAAGGATGTGAGAAAAAAGGTAGAACCATTGTGAACAGCTTTAGCCTTCAGATTATTTTACTATTTTTTAGTGGGTTAGCTTGTCACATGGATTGCTGGCTAGCTTATATAGATTAGATTCTATTGAATTTGAAAGTTTAAAGTCAGAAGAGGAAGAATTCAGGACAATAGTTAAACTAAGACTTAACTAAATTTGGGTCAGTTACCCCTTACGGGAGTTAAGAATTTTATGGATGGTTTATTTTAAAGTAATATATGCTCATTCTTTAAATAAATTATAAAATCTCTCTTAGCCCTCTTAATTCCACTCCAAAGAAGTAACAATTTGACAGCTTCTTGTATATCTTTCCAAGCATTTTCTATGTGTGTATATACATAACTACCTTAATAATGAGAGTTAATTCTTTCCTTTTTAATTTACTAGTGAAAACTTAAACAGTATTATCTAGAAGCAGGAACAAACCTACTTTGTCATGTTGAATATTAGATGCTTCATTATGATAGAAGATTTCCTTTGAATTGGGGAATTGGGAACTGAAATTTTTTATTATGTACATTTCTGTATAGATAAACATTTAAAACACAAAATGTATTATGTGGCATTAGCCTCTGTGGTAGGCCTGGAGTCAAATAATGCTGAACTCTGGAGTGTGGAATGGACATACATGAAAAGTAAAACTCAACAGGTGTTTCATTTCTATCTTAGTTGTAAGTATGTAGAATGCAAATCTACTCATAAAAAATAAGACACAGGAAGCAAGAGTCTTTCCTTTTGTTTTAGGCTATTCCATAGTCTGACCTACAGTCTCTTTCTTCATTTCTCCAAATTCTTGTTCTGTTAAAACTGTTGGTTCTCAGTGATTTTTTTTTTTCCCTGCAGCATACCAGAGGAGTACACCATTCATTGCCTTATGTTATACTTATTCATTAGAGCAATGCTTTTTACCCTGCCACCTGTAAGTCACCTGGGGGAATATCTGCCATGATCTGTGGGAATATGTGTAAATTGGAAAGAATATTTCTCACACGCGATTCTGATGGGCTCTTCAATGAAAATTCCCCTCTTAGCATTAAACTGCTACAGGATATATCATACCTAAAAATGAGTTTTTTTCTTATTCTTTATGTTTTTTTAAATTAATGTGTGTTCTCTTTGGGGGTTATCCTGAAGAGTGATTTTTTTTTTCTTCTTTTGGTGGATATGCTGCAACTCATAGAAGTCTTGCTATGGAACCGGCTGTTTTTTTTTTTCTTCTAAACATTCTGAAACAGGGTTAATCCAAGTGTTTAACCAGTGTTCAACTATTAAAAAATTTCTCCATTCTAAATCTACATTGCCTTCTTGAAATTATTATTTCTTTTTTAAAATAGATTTCCTAGAAAGACCAATTTTTTTTGGTCTAGGGAAGACAAGAATTTTTTTTTTAAGACAAGAATTTTTATTATTAACTTAGATTTTGTAAATGATTCTGTTGCTAAACCTCAGGAAATGGATTGAGGTATGTGTGCATATATATGCATATTTAATGTTTGCTTTATTGAGATATAACTTTGTCAACATAATTTGCAGTGGGTTAGGGGAAATACAAATATTTGATGTAGCATTTCCTCCCTGGATAAGAGAACTGTGAGAATTACTTTTGTTGGTTTGTAAGACCTAAAGATCAAGAGTCATGTTGGGTCATTTTTTGATGACTTTTCCTTGTAATATACATAATTTCCCTTTGTTCCTTTAAATCATTATAACCACCCATCCTAAATTTATTTCTTTACTTATTATGTATAAAGGCCTCTCTATGAGGAGCTGAGCAGTGTTAAAGCATCAGTGATGTGGTGCATGAGGTCTCCTAGAGAGAAGCAGCACCTCCCTTTTTATAGTCTCTTTGGGAATGTTTCTATATGCTTAGTATATCCCAGGCACTTACTTACTTATTATTATTTTAAAGATTTTACTTATTTATTTTGAGAGAGAGCGAGCATAAGTAGGCAGGGAGAGGGAGAAGCATACTCTCCGCTGAGCACGACCCTGGGATCATGACCTGAGCTGAGGCCTATGCTTAACTAACTGAGCCACCACCTCCCTGCCCAGGTACCTTTTTATATTAACTCATTTAGTTCTCTCAACAATACTATTAGGTAGATACTATTATTATCCTCATTTATATGAATAAAAAATTGAGGCACAGAATGGTTGCTAACTTGCCCATGGTCTCACAGCTAATTAGTGATAGAGCTGTGGATAGGATGTTATCTTAAAGCCCAGCATCAGGATTCATTTACTTCGCTGGGTCATGGTTGCTCACATTTTTGTGATGCTGTGAGTTCATATTTCAGAAAATTGGGATTTTGGGTTCAGAGTTTGAAGGCTTATATGGATAAACTAGATTTTGGAGATTATCTTAATTGGTTGAAAAACAGAAGCCCACTGTCACACAAGTCATTAATGTTACAACTAATGTCCAGAATGAGAGTTAGATGGAAAAAAAATCCAGAAACAGAATTCGTAAGAAATATGGCACTGAGCTAGGATTTGCATTGACAGATTGTCAAAGTTGGCAGTTTTGGCTGCCACTTAGGCAACGTGGAAGGTTCTGCAAGTTGCCTACATCAGCATCAATTTTTCCTTTCCTCTTATATAACAGTCATTGATTTTTCACTAGCCTTTTTTGCAGCTGTTCCAGCCAATGAACCATATTTAGTTGGATAGTATGTCTTAGAGTCTTTGGGGCCAATGAACTTCATGACTTTATGAAAGTGTCATCTTGCTTTATTTCTCATGCTGTAAATTTCTTGGGAGGTCTGCGAACATTTGGGCAAAAGAGGACCTGTGGGGAAGGTTTTATTTGAAAGCTTACTGTGAAGATTTGGAACATACTGTATTCTGTATTAAATGGTGCAATCGATAAACTTAGCATTTAAAATATTTCTGGAACTTTGTGTTCCTTATTTATGAGAGAGCAGGGTCTGTTTTTGTGTTAATATTATAAAAATGAAATGCCCTCAAGGAAGAATATTAAAAAAAAGAATATTCAACATAAAAAGTTAATACCTTCTGCAGTGGAAATTTGGACTGCATCTGAGGCTACATTAGTTAATATTGGTTATACAAGAAAAATACAGTTGTCTTGATTCAAATCAGTGGACTGATTAAGTTCATTTTTAAGGTAAAGATTGGTGAAAATATAGTAATGTCAAATTAGAACTTAGAGACTTGCATTAATAGGTAATTTTTCTTCTAATTAAGTACTCTGATTAAAATTTCCCTTTGGGAGTAAAGGATGTTACCATCTGGCATATGGACTTTGAAAGAATTGGAGTGTTAAATAATAAAGTGCAGGTTTTTTCTTGTATTCAGTGGGTTTCAGTTCTCAAATATAATTAATGGCATCCCAGAAGGATAATGGTAAGGTTTAGGGCCAGGCACAAACCATTATAATATCTTAAAGCTGAAGGTATGTGCCCTTTTTTTTCTCGCTGAGTTTTATTAATTGTCCTGAAGGTGAGAATTGTTCAGTTTATTGTTAAATAGTAAGAGTCTATAGGTAAGAAATTAAACCAAGCAGTTAAATTCTGTTATGACCTTCCTTTTGTAAACATATTTTGGATCTTAGGAATTAGGTTCTTAGGGTATTTTTTTAAAATTTTTATTTATTTATGATAGTCACAGAGAGAGAGAGAGAGAGAGAGGCAGAGACACAGGCAGAGGGAGAAGCAGGCTCCACGCACCGGGAGCCCGATGTGGGATTCGATCCCGGGTCTCCAGGATCGCGCCCTGGGCCAAAGGCAGGCGCCAAACCGCTGCACCACCCAGGGATCCCAAGTTCTTAGAGTCTTATACTTAAAATTATATTTACAAGTCCTTCATGAAACAGCTGGACAGCAGAATAATTTTTATAGACCTTTGCTTTGAGGCTAATGGAAAAATGTAGACTCTGGAGTCAGAGTTGAAATTTAATCCTGATTTTTTTCCACTACGAACCATTTTAGTGACTTTGGACAAGTTATTACACCTTTCTGAACTTAAGTTTTATCATCTGAAAAATAAGTATAGTCCTATATCCCTCATTATAACTAACATTTATTAATGTGGTCTCATTAATGTTTAGATGCTTGCTAAACATTCATGTTTTTGTTGTTTCTTTAATTCATCCAGTAATCCCTACCTTCAAGCATTTGCTATGTTCTTAACAGTACTTGGTATATTCTAGGCACTCAGAAGAGGTTACTTTTTTCTTCTTTGACTTCATGGGACTTAAACTCGGTTTCATTTGTGTATCATTATGACTATAAACAATATAATGTATTACAGCATTCACAGCGATATTGTACGTCTGATTATTTTGATTATATGCTAAATTAGACAACCATGTAATACTGCTTTTTGTCTGTCTTCTGTTCATGAATATAACGTCTGTCCACTCAGAATACATTACTATGCACATTCCATTTTCCATCAGTGCTCATTTATTGGTACCTAAAATATACAAATATTTAAAAAATACTTTCAAAATTATGATTAGAATGTGATATATGTGAATATACAGGATTTCATTTAAAAACAAAATAGTTATATACATAAAAGTTATGTATCATTTGAAAGGGAATTTTTCAATTTTAGGAATGCTATTATGGGCTTATATTTCCATAAATCAGCATATGGAGAGAGATTAGGCAAAGCAGCTGGAGCTAATGATCTTTTGGTAAATAAAAAATAAAATAGTAGCAACCATTTTAAAAATACATTTCAGCAGCAGATGGTGGGACCAGAAAAATATGCAAACCATAAATTTGCACTCTTGTTTAATTTTTTAAAATTCTTCTCCCCCCCATCTTCTCCTCCTCTTCTTTCTTATATTAATAATAGAAGACAAATAGACTATAAGGAACCAAAATAGAGTTGATACAGTTAACTCTACAACCAATGTATTTTGCAG